CTATCCAGGCGCCTGAGTTACAGTGGATTTTGTAGTGAAGTCTGAATCTCTCAGTGTTGTTAACTATTGACCTACACAATATGGTGACTGCACAGACATACAACGGCAGCATACAGCAGCGGCCAATGAGGTATCTATGTTTGTATACCTATGGAAGCACCATAAGCTTCTTTACCTCTTTCTGCTCCACAAGCAGCCGCTTCTGCAACCAGACATTTATTTTTTTCTGACGACTGCTTCCAGGAGATCGGCCGGTGCAGACAACAGCAGTGCTCAGGGGGAGAAACAGGAGGGTGATGATGATGAGGGACTAAAAAAAGACAGACAGAGATGTTCAAATGTGGACAGAGGGAGAGAAACAGGAGCAGAATGAAGAGGAGGAGACGGAGGCGGTGAGAAACATGAAATCACTTTTTCCCTGTTGGAAACCCCCCTCCTGCATGAGCGATAGCGTGTCAGTGAGCATGTGTTCGAGCCAAGAAGCATCATTTAGGCCCCAAACTGTCTCCGAACAAAGCCGTCAATCATCGTTCCAAAGAGCTGCGAACAGAATGCAAATATTCAATGTCTCCACTTATGATAACCTATAAATATAGGCAGCAATTAGTGTAATTATCAAGCAATGTATTGGAGCTCTCGCCAGTTGCCAGGCAACACATACTAAAACCACGGCATGAATGTTGATTTTTGGTCAGAGTATTAATATTTAAATACATACTTATGGATTTATACATTATTATTAATACTTAAATGCCACACGGTCAAATGTTTGCCTTCAGTAGAAGCTTTACAGAGCTGTTCAGAGTTTTTTTATACACTGTTTTAATAAACCACCTAATATTTAATGTTCTGGTGCATATAACTTCAGAGTACTTAAAGCTGTAACTAACCCCGCTGAGTATTTGCAAATGTATGTTATAATATTTTAGTATTTTTCTTACATGAATGTACAGAACTTCTCCTAATTATGACGTCCTGGGAGCTTCTTATTGGAAGCACACAGCCGATACAGTTCAATATTTAATGACATTTTATATGAAACATGAAATAAATTTGTGTACCACGTTTCACCTTCACACTAATCAATATCATCTCTCTGTCGACCTACAACTGAACAAAATGATCAAAATGATGAAAGATATTTGTGTTAAAGAAATGGGTGTGTAATCGATGTTGACTCAACCCCTGTTAGGGTTAGAGTCGTACTGCAGTCTGTGTTGTTGCTTCTGGGTCTTTCAGAGATCATCAGGCATTTATCTGACAAAGTGATGCTCTGTGGCTCACATATAATGATAAAACGTGAGAGGCTAATAGAGAACATGTTACAGACTCGTCATTAGAGCTGCTAGCATGTTTAATCTGCCCTCCTGGGCTTTGTATCTCCAGTAAGTGCACTGCAGTCCCTGATGGCGGGACTTTTCAGCACTTTTAGTGAATCTGCATATTTATGGTGGTAGGCAAGCTCCTATTTCATGCCTGTGTTCCTTTAGAGTGGCCCCGCTCTGTATTTCATGTGCACAGCTTTGCTACGTTAAAGCGACCCCACGGCCCCGTCGTTTGATTTACGGACACTGACCCACATTTCCCCGTGTGACAGCGGCTCAGCCTGTAACCGTATAATGGCCCATAACTGCACGGCACAACTGGACTCTCACATTCATATTGGCTTTTATTTCTTCCAGCTGCTGGAGGTAAAGTGAGTAATGAGGTGTTTTATCCAGAAGGCACAACTCAGCAGCAGGGAGGAGGAGGAGGAACGTGTCATATAAACCACTTACAGCTCTAAGTGCTCTGAAACTTAAGTAGTACAAGGAAAGCGGATAATCCATGTATATTTTAGCAGGGTTCTGCCACGGGCTAACAAAAGGTTTGGGTGTTGGAAAAAGTGAAAAACACTTCTGGCGATGGGGAGCGAGGATGTCTGCTGCTTGTTTTTCCTTCCTTCTCGTCTTTGATTTGTCTTTGGGATAATCTGGTGCGCTGCCATCCATCCATCCATCTGTCCGTCTGTCAAAGCTAGGAGTTCATCCAAAGACGTCTCTCGGCTCTGGTGTCACTTTGTGTACCAGCCAGTCAGTCATTTGTCCGACCACGCCGCCAACCAACCAGGAGCCTTGCCAGTTAACCGATCAGATATTCCTTCTGACGGCTTGTCGGTATCTCTGCAAACCAGGCGGCCGTGTAAGCATTTAGTCAAAGTCAGCCCTTTATCCCAGCAGTCGGACGGGTGACAGCGAGAAACACTGTGTGTTTAAAGCCAGAGGACAGCTCACATCCCGTACGTCCCGGTGTGTCGGTTTGAATCCTCCTCCCGGTGCGTCAGACTAAATCTTCCCCCTAATTGACAGAGCAGAGGATGTTTTCTGCCTGACACACTGATGGCAGGATGCGGCAGAGAAGCGAGACACTGTAGAAGGCACAAGGATTCATGTCTGCGCCACAGAAATGTCTTTGTCCGTACAGGACACTGTCAGCGGCTCATTGTTACTATGTACACTGAGGTAATGATGTTATTCCACAGTGCTGGATGAAATATTAACAACGTCACCTTACATTCATTCACACACAGTTGTGATAAGCACTGCTGTCTCGAGCTGGAGTTCCTCTAATGGCCACTAGAAGGAGAGTCACACCACGCAGGATAACAGAGGATTAGGGGCAGCACGTTTCTGCCTTTTAGCATTATTGCTGGCAAACAAACTCCTACCTGTCTCTTAGGAATTGACCCTTCCTAAGTCCAGCCCCTTTTGTAACCTTGGTTAACTGTCTCCTTTCCTGTATGTTATATGCTATATGCTAAACTAATCTATGATGAAAAGACATTTGAAGATGGTTAAAAGATAAAACCGACATATAGTCACATAGTGAGTTAGCTAATGTTGGAAAAATGCCAGCAAACTAGGTAGCTTATCTACATCAATCATTAGCTATCACACTTAGCTAGCTAGCTAACGGCTGATGTAGATTACCTAGCTAGCTAGTTAAATTAGCTGTAGCTCTGAATGCTGTGATCCATTGCACTGGATAAGTTGTAGAGCCATTGTCAAAGTAAACTGTATCTGTCGCTATCAAATAAACAGAGAAATGAAGAAATGAAAGGCGAAAGTTGACCACGGTTTGATCAAATGTTTTTGGAGCACATACCAAAAAGGGGTGGGGCTTATGAAAAGTCAATTGTCAATATCCAGAACAATTGTGAGCTTTTGGCTTTACAACGATCTACTCCAACAGTAGGAGGTGGAATTAAACAGCAACATTTCTAAAATCGTACAGGGCAAGCTGGTTGTCTAATAACTGGTCTGCAGTCTCATCCATCATATTTGAAATTAAGTTTGGGATCAGGATGTATGACTTCATGGTTGCATGATGTCTCAGACGCTGCCTCGATGTTCACTCTTGTCTTTGAACACTAAAATACTGTTGGTATGAAACTTTAACACTTTGAGGTCAAATGAAGAGTTTAAGGAGAATTTCTGATGTATTTCCGAGACTTAACCTCCGCAAAGAAAGTTATTTCTGTACATTCAGTAAGTTAGAGACTTATCTAACCAGACGTCCTGCTGTCATCAAAGATTTTTCTGCTGAGTGTTAACCGGAGCGATTGCACACTCTGCAACGAGACAGCCATTTGGTTTCGCACTGATTTCCCAGTATCCAAATGAAGAATTTTTTTTTTAAGGAATTTTAGTCAACTTTAATGGATTTTCTCTCCAGGCCTAGAGGCAGTAAACTAGAAAATCTGAAATGATGTGAAGACTCTTTATATTTGCCGTACATCTCATCTTCACGACTAAGGGGGAATCAATTATTGATCAGAGCTTCTACCTGATTTCAGGGACAGATGGCTCTCAGTTTGTACAGCAGACAGTCAGACTAGGAAACCTTGAGATGGCACAGACGGTAACATCATCCCACATTAACACTCTTTAAGCTTGTTAGTTTGCTACCTACACAGGCCTTAAAGCTCCACTGTGTAACATTTAGGATGTAATATAATATTCCTAGCTATGTTTTCAGTTCACCAGTAACTCAGAACGAACAAATCAAACACTGGCTCTAGATAGGGCCTTTAGTGCTTTTTGCGACTTTCGCGGCCACTGTAGTTTCTCCAACACACTTAACAATCCAATCTCATTCCCAGGTCGTCTAATACAGACGTGCTCAGTCACCGTTAGATGCCATTAAATCCTACATGGTGGAAGTTGTCCCGCTCCTTGTTGAGCAGAAAACCTCTAAACATCATCAGCACCGTCTACTGTCTCATGGTGGAAATAGTATCTAATCTTCTCATAATCAATTGATAGTTTTATTAGTTTATGATGCAAAAACCTCCAACATTCTTTGGTACCAGCTTTTTAAATGTTCTGTTTCTCAGTTTTATAGCTTTGTAAACTGAATATTTCTGTGTTTTGGACTGTTGGTTGGACTAAACTGGACATTTGAAGAAAGGCTCTGTGATGGGCATTTTTCATTATTTTAACATCTTATAGATCAGCAATATTTTTCCACAGTTTACACTTCTATTAGAGTAAACTGACTATTTGACAGATATTTCATTTTATTTTCAATAATAACAATAACAGTAGAGAACAGCTGATAAACTGAACAGTGAACCCAAACAGTTCGCACAATAACTGCAGAAAGTTTGTGCAAATACTATAATAATAATAATATAATATACAGTGCTCTTCAAAGTTTTGTTTTTAAATAATAATATGAACTTTAAAAATAACAATTGCATTTAGTTTTCTTTACAGAAATGAAACTTAATGCTGAGATACAGGCCTGCTGTGTGTATTTTTAAAGTTTTCTTACATCCCTTAAAATCAAGAAGACCTTACAACCCCCCATTAAGCTTTGGCAACCCCTAGTGGGCGTATTGAAATGTTATAAACTAATGATAATGGAAATAAGAGTTACCTGAAGCTTTAACTTTGTGACAACCAACATCTGGCAACAACTGTATCCTGGGAGAGAAAATGAGCAACATCAGAAAGAAATTTGTAAACCATATTTCTTTATTAAAGATTAAGAAACTCCAAGCAGCATATTCATAAATAAAATAAGGGTCTCCCTTAGATGGACTGTGACAGACTATATGCTATGACAGTACGTTTTCATCTTCTGACTTGGCGCTGGAGTTTTAACACAAAGGGGGGACACATGGAGCCACCCCAGCACACACACACTTCCTATTCACGTCCTCTCTGCTGACCAATCAAAACCTCAGGGTCCTTAGTCCGTCCGTCGTGTTGTGGAGCACAGTGAGAAACGTAAGTCGGTTCACAAGAGCAACTACTGACAGTTAGAAAACATCCATGTAGAGTCTTTTCACATGAGAGCTGCGTCAGAGTCGATGATCTGGTAAAAACCCTCCAACGCATGTTCAGAAACACTGAACTCAAGTCTGGCTTTTCTTCTGCTTGTCCATTTTCCAGACACACATGGCAGATTTGATTTAATGTAATTGGAGAATCGGTATTCACACAGGAGCAGAACATTAGCTTATTAACCCCCTTTGGCAGAGATTTGATATATTCATGGTTTATGTCTGATAGAGGAAATTAAATTATGAGTAATTTCTGCTCGGGAAATGATCACATGTTAAACATCTGTATCCACAGTAACATTAAACCTTTAATCACATCACAGGCTTAATGTAACAGAAAAGTATGTTGGTTCTACAATCAACAAACTGGTTTCATCTTTTTAGGGTGAATTTTGGCTCAAAGGATGACATCTATGTAATAACTTACGTCCAATGCCAACATTAATGCTAACAGTGGAAATACTTTTTTAATACACACGCCGGTCCACCGTGACAGTGTCATGTTTTCAACACGTTCTTATTTCACAATCAAGTTAGCAATAATAAATATGCAATAATAAATATGCAATATCTGCTTACACTTTTAGGAAAAGATCGTAAGTTACATACATACGAAATTGTCTTGTACTTGTCTTAGACTCGTCGGCCATTGGTCTCGCCAGATATTCTAGTTGGTCTCGACCAAGTCCGGCAATAAATGTTGCTTTTCTGAAGTAACTTTGTTCTTCTAAAGAAAACGAAACCATTGATGTTAGTTCTTGATGTAGTTTAATTCCAAATCTAAACAAGTATTGCCATTGGCCTATTTTTCTGTCTCTCACTTTACTTGGACTCTTTGGAAATGGGTCTGGACTTGGTCTCGGACGGGACAAAAGTGGTCTTGACTACAGAACTGCCTGCAGGTACTGAACCTTCATACTTTTATTGGAGGGCCTCTGGTTGAAATATTTAAATCTGATGATTTTATGACTTCTAACATGGATTCTTATTATTATTTTATTATTATACATGCATGTACTTTTCTTGTCTAGGCATGGCAAAACGTGACACTGACACAGTATCCTCTAGTGGATCGGTGGGTCTGTTATACACTTTAGTGCGAGACTGGCCTGAAATATTGGTTTCAAAAGGTTTGTTTCACCTGTCCCAAGTTTTCCATTTGTATAGGAAACCAAATCAGCATTGAGGTCACCAACTGAGCTAACCATAAACAAGTGTTTAGTTGTCTATACTTAAACATAACTATAGTTAATCTGCCACAGTCGCAATCTCACCCTAATGTTAACCATAACCTAGCTGCCGTGTGCAGATATTGTAGAAACCAACAGTTTTAAAAACGTTGGCATTAGACATAAAAGTCACTGAACATAATCCTGCTTTTGTAGAATCATCCATCATTGCCGTTTTTCTGGCGACACAGTTAGAAACGTGCAAGTCCCTCAAGGATTTTGTTGGGTTTTTTGGGGAGAATTGTTGCAGCCTAAAATGCCTGATATCAAAATAGAAAAAAATAGTTTCAGTATAATTCATTACAAATCAAAGGCAACTTGTTTCAGTGAGAATAAAAATGTTTGGAGGGTAAATGTAAGAGGTTCATGTCGCACATGTCTGGATGGTCTTCATCTCCAAAATGAGAAAGGAGGAAGTGAGTTTGGTGATGTACGGCTCAACATTTTGCACAAGAAACTACAGTCAAATTTGCGAAAAAGTTGCTGTGATTGGACAAACTTGCAAGGTTGAATGTGTGGGAACTGTTCCTGGAGGGACTGAATTTTGGATAAAGTCAGTAAGCACTGGTAGTTGCTGTTCAATTTAAGATTTAAGCAAGACATCTGTCAGATCACCATTTCAAGCATTAAATTCACCATCTAACTGATCATCAATAACATGAGATTTGGTGTTCAGTCTATAAAATGAATTTTCGGAATAAAGCTCTTCATACTGACAAGTTAATGTCCCTCCACTTCCTTTGCCGACATAAAACACTTTTTGGAGTGGAAACCCTTCAACGGTGAGCTGGTCTGTTTCTGTCTGACTGCTCATAGACTGAAAACTCTACTGTGTGTGATTAACAGCAACAATGTCTGGCAAATTAAAATTAATTCCAAACTTATTAGGCCCATAAATGCACATTAATTGCACTTATGACAGCAATCGGAGGGGTGTTGTGTGTGGTTTGTTGAAAATAGTTTTCCATAAAGGTTCATCATATAGTATTCCATAGAGAAAAACAATCCAGTGTTTAGCAAACATAATCAGATTTCCTTTATATTACAAGCAGTTGAGGTATGACACCTGCAGAATCTCCACGATTATGAGCCTCTGATTGCACTTTGGATAATGACGCCCTCTGTCATCCCTGCAGGTGATAATGGATCTCATTAGGAATGACTTGTGGGAATATGAGGCTTTTCGCTGTGACTCTCTCTCTTTGTGATTAAAATAACTGCTTTGCAGGAGAAAAACCTGTATACAAGTGTTTGACATTAAATTCTCTAGTATAAAAAATTAAAGACATATCTATATATCTGATAGTTCTTTCTACGAGACGTTTTTTTTCAGGTTAAATATAACAAAGAAAAAGGTCAGAGACTCTGAGGCTGCGTTTACACCACCAACTGTATGTTCAGCATTTGATTGAGATGAGCAGCAAAACAACGGACAAATGTGCTTTGTTGTGGACATTTGTGTTATTGAGACCAGTGGCTTGATGCCAAAAATGTTTGGTTCACTGTGTGACAAGCCCTCCACTCATGCAATTCCCTCAAGCCCAAGCTCGTTACATCTCATCTCAATTTGAAAAACCCTTCAGAAAACAGGAGATTGGAAAGCCAAAAAGAACACAATGAACTGTAAACTGACTCACATTCAGCTATTTTTGAGCTAAAGAAGGCAGTTTGAGAGTAGGGTTGTCTACCAAAACCAGGTCTTAAATTGGTACCAGTTTGGTGGGCACTGTAATACCAAAACTCTCTTTATCAGAATATTACTATTATATATTACTGGTAACTGAACGTTTTCCTTCCTTAAGAAGGTTTAAGAATTGTTAATAATACTTATTGATACATTACTGAAGATACCAATCTCTATCTGAGAAAATCTGAGTGTAACCGCAAAAGTCAATGGATTTTGGTTCCAACGTTCAGGAATTAATAAGTGGAATTGAACAGTCTGTAATCTTACCAAATGGTGGACGAATGTTGGGATCCAAACTTTCAGCAGTCGTGGTTAGTAACGGAAAATGTCCTGGTGCCAGAGGAAAACTCGACATTGCCTGGGAATCATGAATGTTTGTACCCAGTTTCATGGCTGTCTGTCCAATAGTTTAACCAACTGACAGACAAACATTGCCATCTCTCGAGCCAAGTCACTCGAAAAAAGAACAATATTGACTGTGGGCTGTCGATGATATTCAGCCATTTTTTTTTAGTTACCTATGAAGGTAGTTTAGAGTAGGTTTGCGTACCAAGACCTGGTCTTAAATTGGTACCAGTTTCTCATTTCTCAAGAACTATAACACGCTTTGGGCACTCAGTCATTATTTGAATGTGATTCATTAATTCATTTATTGTACTGGTAAATGAACTTTTTGTCTGAGAGAAAGAGTAATAAGTAGTTCTTGATTTATATACCTATATCGATACAATACTAACCCATCTATATCTGCTGAGTGAATGCTGTGTAGCAAGTGTAACCCCAAAAGTCAATGCATTTTGGTTCCGACATTCAGGAATCAAAAAGTGAGGCATTCGGTAAGGCTGGAATGCTCACTATAATGAAAACCATATGGTAAGATGGAAGAAAGTTGGGATCTAAACTTTCAGCAGTCGTGGTTGCTAACCAAAAATGTCAATCTGCTAGTGATGCTAGAGGACATATAACGAATTTGTATTGCCTCTTAATTCAAAACCTGTTCATTAGACCCAACCTCGCATTGAGCCCAACCATCGTTTGCGTTTGAGGGTCGACAGTAGGTGTGATCACAGCCTGACAGTCTCTACTTCCTCTCCTCTTGTTCTGTCTGTCCTCCCTTTACAAACTGAAACTCTTCACCTGGACATTACTGATGACAAATAAAAAGGTACTATAAAAACAAACCACTCAGCCGTGTGTAAAATAAGAACCAGATAAAACTAGTTTTAGACCACTAGTTTTTTTCCCCCCTATCGTTGAATGATTCACAATATACAGTCAACGTAAGAAAATGAATGTAGACTATTGATTTGAAAAAACAACGTATATTATATATTCAATACAAATGGAAAAAAAAAAATTGTGATCATTTTCGTCCGATGCTGAAGATATATATAGGGTTGGTACAGAGGTGCATAACAGTAGGTGTCCAACACTAAAATGTCCCTACAGCAGTGCATCATGGGTAGTCGTTTACATCGATGAGTTGTGGAGAGACATCGTTTAATTTCGGCACTTAGAAAACAATCACAATGAATTTCGCGTCATTGTTTCATATTGAACAAAATTTACAAAGCCATTCAAACAGTCATAACTTTTTCATCAATGTATATATATATTTTTTTTATCTCGTTTTGTTGGTTTTTTATAACTCAACTTCAAAAATTGAGAATATTCAAAATACACTTTAACCTCACTTCGTTCTCTTGGTATTTACAGTTATGTACAAGAGAAAAATTACACCCGCCAACCCGCCCGCCTCCCCGCTTTTTTTTGTTTTGTTTTTTTGTAACATCGGCTTTTCTGAACAGGTAGTCAGATACAAAATCTTTTTACTTTGTACATATATTTTTTTTTTCCTTCTCTAATCTTCCTCTAGAGATCCTAACTCGCCTCGCACCCAAAACCGGACCAAAGTCCAGAGAGCGACTCATCCTTAATGCAGTTTGACCCCGTCCTATCACCCCCCCCTCCTATATCACTATATAGATGTACTATGGGTGGCCTCAATGGCTTCGGGTATGGGTCCTGCGGAGACTGCCTGGTAGGACATTGGCATGGGTGTCTTGCCAGGGCTCTGCCGGAAGAGCCCCCCGTTGGGTGCCCTGTGTTTGCACTGCATGGTGCCGCTGAGGCTGGTGCTGCTGAGAGGGTGGTGCAGGGGCAACGTGTTGCTGCCAGGGCCCTGGGATGGGGGTAGCGTCCTGCCTAGGGTCCCCCCATGGTGAGGGTGGGGAAGAGGAGGAGGCGGCGCCCCCTCCCCGGGGAGGAAGGTGGTCACAGCGAGGCCCGAGGGCGGGTAGTCCCGCACGGACTCCGGCCCCGGCACCAGAGACGCCTGGCTGGGCTGCATGCTGCCGATGTCCAGCGCAGAGATCTCGATAGAGGGGCCGGGGATCTGCTTGTGGGCCAAGTCCTCGTCCAAAAGACTGTTCATACGACGATGCACCTGTTCCAGATTCACCTCCTTGTCCTATAAGAGGAGGAGTTGGGGGTGGAAGAGGACAGAGGAGAGACAGGGGGAGGGAGGAGAGGAGGGAGGAGGGACACAGAGGCTGAGATTGGCGATGGGCCGGTTTCTCAGACTGTTTCAGGTCTGCTGGTGCTCCATGCATTTCAATCTGTCATTGTTTTTGGTCGTGGCCTTTGTTTTAAATTGATGGGCTGCTATCAGAATCTTGGCTGATGGACAGCCTCTTGTTTCTTTTTGTGTCAAAAGCCCAACTGAGGCCACAGAAACCAATTTGAACGTGCACCTTGAAATCAAACTTGGCCAGTGAATATTAAAGGTTTGATGTCTGGAGAAAAACAATCCTGGAGCCAAACTGACTGAAGAAGGTTTGTTGTAAAGCTGGGTTTCTTTAGTAAGTCTGTGTGTGAGCAGGGTATGTCAAGGTTTTCATGTGAATGTGTTGGATTCAGAGACCTCTGGCGAAGGAATGATTGATTTGGATCTTGAATTTCTGATAGAAGACTTCATTTTGCCTCCAAGTATAAAACCAAATCTTAAGAGTTGGGTCAGAAATTCAATTAAATAAAAAATAAAAGTAATGTGAGTTGTAAAGTTTTGCGCTCTCTATATTTATGTAACTAAAACTGAAAATGTCTACAGTTGTGTTTTCTCTCCCCTCTGTGGGGGTGTTTTTTTCCTCGCTGACCTTGCAGCCAGTACACTCTGTGCAGGAGGATCGGAGAATCGGTTCCCTATCAGAACAATTTAATCAAAACATTGGCTGACGCTGCATCTCCTGCCGACTGCAGCCATGCATACTTGTTAGGCATTAATAGACACTTGAGTGTTTCCCTGTTGAACTGCGGGTCTGCCTCTGCACACTGGGTCATGGGAAGGTAAAGGACGAGGGGTAAAGAGAGAGATGGGAGGCGTGACTCGCATATCAAGCGAGGCCTCTGGGTCTGAATCCAAATTCCCGACATGTTTGAATGGATGCTGTCATCACTGTTTGGGGAGAGAATTTTAAACCAAATCGGTCACTTTGCAACAAAGTCAGTTCCTGAACGCAGCCTGGCTTGGCTCCAGCATTGGATTCACTTCAACTCAGAGGTACAATGATATTAGTCACAGTAACTCGTCACAGTGAGATTCAGAACAATGACACATTTACACTCTATATTAATACACACAGATATTCAGTTATGTTGCAGTGTAATCAGCACCAGGGATTTTACAAACCCGACCACCCAGGACCCCGAAGATAATTTTGAAGACAATTTTCTCTGAATTTAAGGATTCTTTTTTTAATTTTAAAGTAATAATCCTCAAGATTTTCATCATTTAAAAGGCAATTTTTGATGCCATTGTGAACATAATGTACTGCAGATCAGCACTTTTCCTACAGGAGCCATTTAAATGTCACAGTGATTTTATACTGGCGGAGTCCTCATTCAAAGCTAAAAAGAGTTCAATCAACAGCATAGCTTTTATTGTAAGACGCACAATAAATCAAGTGTATTTGGAGGTAAGCCCTTTTAGACATTTTTGTAATTTTTTGTCAGCAGATCAATAAATCAACGAGTTTGGCTGCACTGTAAACAAACAAGTTTGTCTTCCTTGAATTTCTAAGGCGGGTTTACTGCCCCCAGTGGTCGATTATCTCCACCAGAATTGAAATCTTAAGGATTATAACTTAAATCCATCCAACTGTTATACATTTTTTGTTTTTCTTTTTTTAGATTTTATTTTAAATACAGTTATACACCCTGTTTAAGTATGAGCTACATTCTAGCAGGGAGATTTTTATATGGATTTAAATATGTATTAAGTATGTAAGTTTGGTATAAATTGGTATTAGCCATTAAAAATGCCTCTATGTGCAATGTTAAAAGCCACAAATTTCTGAAAACATGACCTCTATGTCCTCATTTGCTACAGCCCTGATTAACAGGAAAGAAACTAATGGGAGGTTAATAGAAATAAAATGGCTGCCATTCACTCACTCAGGTCTTCCTATAAATGATTAGCCATTTACTGCGCATCATTTTCACTGGTGTTCGGACTGGATAAAGCCCTGCTATTGCAGAAAATGTCAAATTCCTCTCAAATTATCATTCAAAATTGGTTTCTGAATAAACCTGAGGTGTGTTCCTAATGTAGTCTAGTTTTGTGACGCTAATTTGTCAGTTAGCTAATTGGCACTCAAAAAGTCTCGGACTAAAAACAGAGTTTTCCCTCCGAAAGGCAGACGAGAGGCAGTTAACGTAAGAGAAACTGTTAAGGTGAGCCTCATGTGGAGGTAGAGTGGTGGAGAGAGTGAAACAGTCTATGATAGCGTATAGCAGCTTGTGAAACCTCAGAGACTCAGTGAATCTTGATTGGCTGCGGTTGCTGGGGCTAAGCATCTGTCTCCGGTCTTTGTTCTAACCTTAAAGGAACACATAAACATACAATGTGTTTAATCTCGACGACCCGAGCAGGTTTGAGTGATCCCTCTCCAGTCTCAAAGAGCTCCTCTCAAAGCCAATTAAAACATCTCACTACAGGTTATTGTTTCGGCGGACGGGCATCTCATTAAAATATGTTTTCAGCAGCGTCAAACTGGCAGCTAGCCTAAATAAATAAATGCCTGGGATTAAACCTCAGCCGGTCGTTAAAGACAGACTGGTGATGTAAGTGGAAAGGAAGAAAACAACAGCCATCTGAAAGCCTCCATTAATTTGGAAAACAAACAGCTCTTTTAATGAGTCCTGCCAGTGGGGGGGATTTTAAATTACTCTCCCTCCTGCTACTTTACTGCAACTGTCGAGTGGGTTGTGCTCAAGTGTGATAAGAACACTTTCTGGTTGTTTCTGGTTTATTTTGGATTCAAGTGGCCCTTGGAAACATTTAAACCCTTTGGCAAATCATCCTTTTATTTTACAGCAGGCTTCCTTTGATATCAATATCTCTCACTATAAGATGAGTGGCTGTCTCTGCAGTCTGATATACTGTTCTGCACTGTGACCACCTCTACAGTGGACATCTACCCTCCCTGTGGGCACGGATGATGAAGCTCACTTCAAGTGTGCAGATTGGACATTTCTCAGAGGCAGACATTTTCTCAGCAGTCGGCTTACACGTTAATAATGGAAGCCAATTATGTAGTTAAGTAATGTTTAACTGAAGCTCTGTGAAAGTGACAAAAGAGAGCCCGTAGCACACAGACTAATAACTCGCTATAAGTCAATGATAGTAAGTCTACTTAACTTTTCTGGTTCAAACCTTCAACATGCTCACAGTAACAATTTCAAAATGCTGATGCTAAAAGGGTATGATGTTTATCATGTTCACCATCTTGGTTTATTGTGTTAGCATGCTAATATTTGCTAATTAGCAATAAAGACAACAGCTGAGGCTAATGGGTATGTGGTAGTTTTGTTAGTTCAATAGGCTGCCATTCACTCACTCAGGTCTTCCTACAAATTATTAGCCATTTACTGCACAACATTTTTATTGGTGTTCGAACTGGATAAACCATTGCCACTGCAGAAAATGTCAAATTCCTCTCAAATTATCATTGAAAATTGGTTTCTAAATAAACCTGAGGTGTGTTCCTAATGTAGTCTAGTTTTGTGATGCTAATTTGCCAGTTAGTTAATTAGAACTGAGAAAGTATTGGACTAATTTCAGACATTTCCCAATGTAGTCTGGCTTTATTAGGCTAATTTACAAGTTGGCAAAGTGGCACTCAAAACTTCTTGGACTAAAATGAGAGTTTTCCCTCTGAAAGGCAGTCAAGAGGCAGTTAACTTAAGAGAAACTCTTAAGGTGAGCCTTGTAGTCTGATTTTGTGAAGTTAAATGGCCAGGTAGCTGAGTGGCACTCAAAAATGATTTTTTTTCTAATTTACTCTGGCTTTGTGAGGCCAAATTGTGAGTTAGCTAAGTTACACTACAAACGATTTGTGTACTTTGGCTCCACTCCACAGTTCAGGATAAACTCAAAAGAATTATTTCTGCTTTCTGCCAGCGCCACATATTTTGTAGAGTAATTTGACTTTGTAAAGGGGTTAGAAATAATATTGAGTCACAGGTGTTTTATCATACATGCATTAAAAGGCACTAAACCTGTTTGCAGGATTTCCATCACAGTGTTAGTTATTTTTCTGATAAACATGCCAACAACAGGTAAAAGTGAGGTCAGAGGTCAGCCCTTATGGAATGTGTTCATACAGTTAAAGATGACCAACTAAAACAAAGCAAGGAGAAACAGAAAGGCACTATAAGAACCTGGAGGGTTTCTAATGGCGGGGGATGCAGCGTTCAAGGTGAGAAGGCCCTCGGAAGCCCACATTCAGTACCTGATGGACCGGCATCAATTACAACTTTAATTATCGTATCGTCTGCAAAGAGCAGAAGCCCAAATTCCAATCAATTGCAATTAAGACCAAGGTGTCTGTTTTCAGATCATGAGCTAAATTAATTTGGGCAAGTTTTTTTTACATCTTAATGAGCTGAAACGTCTGGTTCTGGAAATAATTTCCTGTTCAATTTTCTGATAAGGAAATTGATTATTAGCTTTAGTGGTTTAATTGGTGGAAAGTTTAATGAGCCACCAGAAACTTGAACAACGAAAAAAGTTTGATTTAAAAGTCCAGTCGGTAGGATTTAAGGGGCTCTATTGGCAGAAAGGGTATATATTATCCATAAATATTGTCATTAGAGTATAATCACCTAAAAATAGTTTATCTGCAATTTATTGACAGAGGGAGTTTTTCTTCTATGGAGTCCACCATGTTCCTACAGTAGCCCAGAACGGACTTCCACGTTTTTAGGTTACCTAAAGGCCACTGTAGCTTTTCTAACACTTCAGTTGGTTGCAGTCTACAACCTCACCACTAAATGTCATTTAATCTTACAGACAAGCTATCTTTTTAAGGAAAACAAGTCTTTGTGAGGTCTATCATTTGTTGAAGTTCCACCTTCAAAAAAAGGTTTTAAGGGAATAAAATATCTAATCATTTTTGTTTAGTTTGTGGTTAAAATGGAGGAAAAACTAACATGAAATTAGTTCTTAGGTTTCCTGAAGATAAGAAATGCATTCCTAGTGCCTTAAACACTAACTCCTCCCTCTTTACTTTTTCATATTTATTAGATTATTTATTAAGAACAAATTAGAGATTCATTTCCAGAACTTAGGCCACAGAAAACAGGTATGAGGCCATGTTTCTGCTCAGATGTAGAATCACCAAAAATCAACCCTTGACAAAACAAAAAGGACCTTGGCGATGGCACAGATATGATTTTTTTTTTTATGTCTTTATTTTTAATAGTTATATAGGAGGTCTATTCTGACCTGTATCAATAGCTTCTGCTTCATCCCAGCCTCTCTCTCTGTCTGTCCAAATGTCCCTCCTCCCCTCCGATGAAGCAGTTGTAATGTCATTATATGTCAATGGACCAGAAACCCTTGCCAGTCTGTAATCCTTAGTAACCTGCACGAGATCATAGACAGTCAAGTGTAAATAAAAAAATAAAAGGGATAGATGGAGAGAAGGAGAGGAGATAGATAACACGGGTGTCCACATTGACATATAATTTGCAATAAGACGTGACACAGTGATAGTACCAGGGGTTATGGACTGGGATGTTGGAGACAAATCTTATTGCTAAAGGGCGACACACCCAACGTATACTGTCTGCTCACACTTTAGTTTATGGATCCACGTCAAAACTTTGTCCCCTGTCACATGACACAAACCTGCACCCTGATGATACCCTGTGTTTCTGTTGAGTTGTGTGTGTGTGTTGGGCACAGGAGGTGAATGTCTGGAGGTAGAACTTATAAATGCAGGTCTGAGGTCAGTTTATGTTTAAGTGTAGCCTTAATGAGAGCTTGAAATGTCGTCCCAGTTCCAGACTATATACTGTCACTGTACGGTACTGAGTACTGGCGGGGTTTTGGTCTGATAGCTGGTTGGTCGGTGGACTCTGTGGCCAGCACATTTTCTTTTGAAATGAGAAAACCAAAATAGTTTTGAAAATACATTTTCTAAAAGTTTTTAGTTTTTGTTTTGGGAATAAAAACACATAATGGAAAAATGACCCATTTTGTTCGTCGTATTTAGAAATAGTATACATTTGGTTTTCTTATTTAAAAACTAAAATCTGTTGGCCACTGACCCTGGTTCTTCTCCCCCCATATTCAACCGGGCATGCCTTTATGACTTTATGTTTGGCCCGGTGAGACACACTGCCCGACATTGTTTACTTGAGTATTTTGTCCTTAAATAGGAAACAAACGGTGTGTTTCTCCGCTTCAGATCTTCTCTGAATGATTGATTTCTGGTCTAGTGTCACAATATTGACATAGCATGAAATTCAATCTGGAGTCTGCAGCGGAGGGATGTTTTCTGGGATGTGCTGCGGTGCTTCGGGGGGAATCCAAAAACGGAGCTAAAAGAGAGACTATTGGACTTAAATTGACACAAACACATCTATGTTAGCTGTTAGCTAACATTTTAGCCATAGCAATTTGACAATAGCCAATAACATATTTGTTTTATGGATGGACATCAGTTAATACATGATATGCAACGACAGTCAAAACTGCAAAATTCTCATTTGAGGCTTTTGTTTCGTTGTTCCATTCTATTTTTTAACACTTTCTAATTGCAACACCTTCCTCTGAATGTGCACAGCATTTAAATTACGTAAATGACTCAAAAGCCTGTTAAAATCTGTATAAAGTATGGTAGTGGGAGACCACGTACGGAAACCCTGAAAGGCAAAGTGAGAAAATTCTGGTGATCTATTTTATCGCTCTTGTTTTATTACTTAAGAACAAGTAAAAAAAAAAAAAAAGTAATTTTGCTTTGCCAGGATTATCTTTCTAAGTTCCTTAATAGTCTTTTTTATTTGTAAAACAGGTGATAACTCGGAAAAACTAGGTTTTAAAATTTAAATAGGTTTAAAACCTTTTTTTTCCAGCTGTTTTTAAATCATAAACACAAGAACAAAAACACTTTAAATCAGATTTAGAAAATGGATCACCAGAACTTTTTTTTTCTCACTTGCCTCTCAAGGATGTGCTTAAGGTTTAGGTAATCTCTACAAAACGCCAAAACACGTAGGAACATGACTCCAAATCAGTTCAGGTTGTTTTAACAATAAATGTAATTGTGTAAACTATTATAAAATGTTTTCAGCATAACATTGACTTAGTTTTAATTTATATTTAACACGCATCAATTATCAGGTACTTCCTTTAGAGTTGATGAGATGGTTATCAGTTGTCATTAATATTGATTATTGAGTGCATTAATGTTTAATTAACTGCTTTTCCTCTTTAAACTCTGAAGATGTAACTATTAGCTCAGCTGTTATAGTGACTTGTGTTTCATTAAACAGAGAGCCATCTGATAATTGGCGTCTGTATGGTTTTTATTCAGTAGGCACTTAGTAAGAGTATCTATTAGCAACAACAGCAAATGATTTGGACTAACTGTGATAATGCCACTGTTAATGTCAAAACCCAGGGAGAGCTGCACTTAAAGGTTCGCTTAGATATGATAAATTACTTTCTTGTCTCTTGACGTCTCGTAAGGATTTCACAATGAAATGGAAAATGTCCAAAAGTGTTAAGAAAGTGTGTCTGTTATCGTCCTCCGCCCGAACAATCTCTCTCTCTCTCCTGCTAATTATAATCTCTTTTCAGAGCCCTTGGGTGCAGGAAACTACCAAAGCCTCACTGTAGAAAATGAGTTTATAACAATAATTCAATACTGAGCACTTGAATGGTTACGGATCCGCCACTGTGGGAATTAATCATTAAAGTCTGTGGGTGTGCTCGGTTGTTTTAGTGGGGGGGGGGGGGTGTTTGCCGGGGAAACATGCAGGACGTGCCAATAGCCAAATCCTGACTTGCTGGTCTAATTGTTTGCCTAAGGCCTCGAGTGTGTGAATCAAGGCAAAGCAGACCAAGAGGCTACTGTTTCATGAGCGTATTAGTAAAAGGTAATGGTCAGTGTGCCGTGTGCTTCATGTGGTTTAGAGAATATGCCAAACAAAAACAGATGAGCTCTGGTGTCTGTAAGTTTAGGACGATGTGGGTGGGGAGCGATGGACGGATAAAAGAAAAAATGGAGGAGGGGTAATAATAAGAGACCAAATTTGATTTCAATCAGTGGCTGATGTGGCACAGAGCACATCTACCTACACTGTCTTATGTCACCACCCTCTGTCCCCCAGCTCTCCATCACTAACTCTACTCTCCTAACCCTCTCTCCTCTACAGCTGGGTGTACTGGAGCTCCACTAAGTCGGGGCTCGCGTCTGCGGCTGGATCCTTAAAGTAGAGTGTGGCAGTGTCTTCCCCCCGCTGGCCCGTCCGCCGGGCCCTGTGCTCGGTCACCTCTTTGGGCTGCTCCTGGCGGCAGCGGTTGCTGTTCCACCAAGCCTCCAGCCCAGCCACCAGGCAGGCCAGCAGCAGGCCGGCGGCCAGGATGCAGAAGACACCGGCGAAGCTGTGCAGCTTGAGGGAGCGGCCATCCGGGTGGGCACTGGCGTGGCTGTTGAGGTCACAGCGGCCGGTGCGAGGCCACCACTTCTGCTTCATGATGTCTAGGTCGCCTTTCTCCTGCAGCTCCAAGATCCTGAAGATAAAGAAGAAGACATAAACAGGTGAGTCAAAAAGACCATTAATTCATATTTCTGACTTAAAGACAACCTTCTTAATTCCCATGATCCTCAGGTGCCTCACCTTACAGGTTATTTAAATGAGATTTACAACAGTGGAAAGACTAATAAAGATGGGTTTGGTGAGTTTTATTTGGTTTCTGTCCACTTTAAATGAAGTTACAGTGTTACGATGATGTGTGAGATAAAATTAGTGTTTTTGTCTCTGGATTTTCTGTTTTTTTTCACAGAGGTTGAATATAGGTGATAATTTGTGGCTTCAGAGTGACAGCTGTGTTGGACTTTTTTGTTCTGTCTCAGAAAAATGAATCGACACTTGGAGCTGAACATCAGCAGTTGATTTTCTCTCTCTTGGGCCCCAAAAGAAAAAAAAAAAAAAAAAAAATATTATAAAAAAAAAATAAAACAAAAAAAAAAAAAAAACAAATTTTTTTAAAAAGAAACAAAAAATTATTTTTTTTACAAAATTTAAATTAAAAAAAAAAAAAAAAAAAAAAAAAATTAAAATTAATTTTAAAATAAAAAAAAAAAAAAAAAAAATAAATTAAAAAAATAAAAAAAAAAAAAAATTTTTTTTAAACAAAAAAAAAAAAAAAAAAAAAAAAAAAAAAAAAAAAAAAAAAAAAAAAAAAAAAAAAAAAAAAAGGGGAAAAAGGTGCGGAGAAGGAGAGGGGATTAGAGTTTTGGTTTTTTTTTGTCCTTGGTGTGGTGTGAAAAGCAGGTTGCAATATAGGCAGTCAGCTTTCACCCATAAGGGAGCGTGAACACTGCATGGTGATTCTGTCGTCATTTAACACAAAATTATTGGCAAGAAATTGGAGTTTAAGTGGAAAATAAGTGCCTGTAACTATCTGCAATTTTAAAACAGGGTTTGAACTACCCCCAAAAAAGGAGAATTACAGTTTCAACTGTCAGTTTTTGATTTGAGAAAGAAAAAAACACAGGCTGTTAACTTGTTCACTACTGGAGGACAGTACAGTTAAAAAAGCATCAGTGCAATGCATGATTGTTAGTAACTCCTGACTAACCATCAATTGTACACTTGTCTGTAGTGCACTACTCTCATCTCTGATTATTGGTTGCTGTTCACCAATTAGAGAAACAATCGACCAATCACAAGTGGTTTTGTTAATAGAGTCTGGTGGGCTGTATTTGTTTTGGTCAGAGATGGTGGTGCTCTAGTGCAACATCCAGTGGCAGTGAGATAATCTTTAACATTTGTCATGTTGAACAAAGCAATATGTTGACTTCTGTAAGTGGACTCCTGGAAACATCTGCCTCACACTGGTCACCATGTTTGTGTCAATTTTTCTGTTCCAATGAGGACAAAATCAGATCAACGAAAATGTTTGTGGGAAGGGATTAAGGGGGCCGCAACCCAACACCACAAAGGGGAAAAAATATAAAAAAAAAAAAATAATAAAAAAAAAAAAAAAAAAAAATATTAAAAAAAAAAAAAAAAAAATAAATTAAAAAACCAAAAAAAAAAATTTTTGATTTTTTTTTTTTATTTTTTCTCCTTTTTTAAAAAAAAAAAAAAAAAATAAAATAATTAATTAATTTTTTAATTTATTTTTTTAAAAAAAAAAACCTACATAAAAATAAAAAATTTAATTTTTTTTTTCCTTAATCTTTGTTTCTCTTTTTTTTTTTTTCTCTTTTTTTTTTTTTTTTTTTTTTTTTTTTATTTTTTATTTTTTTTTTTTTTTTAAAAAAACACTGTTTATCTACCAATATTAAGTTTTGCGGAAGGTGTGGTTGATCTTAGCCACCTCTGACCACCCACTCTGGGAGGAATTTCTTTTTCTTCATTCTGGGAGGAGATACAGGTCACCCACGGTAAAATGCAACAGGTTTAAATTTTCCTTTTTTTCCAAGAGCAATAAAAGACCTGACTTTGCACTGTGCTGTTGACTGCACTGCTCAGCAGCACTTTATGATGGCTACCGTTCTTTTGAACGAACAGATGCGGTGTACTGTAACGATTGTAATTAATGTCCCATGTGTCCTTGTATGTTGTGCTCATGTTTTTTGACCCTCTACTGTAAATCAAGTTTCCCCTCAAGGGACAATAAAGATTGAACTGAACTGAACCACTCTTGAAGTTGTTCACCATGATGGTAGCTTGTTCTCTGGCTCAACAAATATCATCAGGTCATGGAAGCCTCCTCCTTTCTCCTTCCTTCCTGGATTCACTAAATCCATAGTATTTTGAAAATTGACCAGATTCTCTGTAACATAGAAAGACTTCTTCTGTCAATCCTCTAGTGAAACTTCTCTGGCAGCGGCAGCAGCAGCAGAAGAAGACGTCACACTGACACAGAAGGCATTTCGCACCGCTTCATCTGAAACATCTCTATACTTTCTATACATTGGACGTATTGGTGACAGACAGTAAGTTTCACGCAGCAGGCCGGCTCTCCTCGTTGTGTTGAGTTATGGAGTTAATTAAGCAAACTCTGCTGTGACCACTGAAGTACAATCTGCTTTTAGCTGCAGTAAAATCAGCGCCCAATTTGCTATATTTAATCTGCTAAACTCAGCGTGAACATGCTGAAGGTCAGTGCACTGCAGTTTCCATCTATCCACCCCCCCAGAAACACCCTGAGGACAAAATAGTTTTACAGCACAAATGAGCAGCAGAAGCAACAAAGTCTGCAAAGGTTATTAATGGCAGGATTATCAAATAGAAAGCCAGGGATGGAGGTAATACAGCAGTTATGGGACTAGGTATTAAAATGATGGTTGGAAATGTGGAGATAATGGCTTTTGCGCTGAACAATAGCTCTGCCCTCAATTTAACACCCGGGCACATTATTCCTGGTCGTCCCTGAGCGTTGCACTGTGAGGACGTCTGTGGCCGCTGGACGCCTGCTGAACTGGGCCTGGCCAGCGCAGAAAACTTCATTAATGGCGAGCGGTTTTGTCTCCATTCAGTGCCACAAATTAATCCCTAAACAAACACAGAGCTGCTTAATTAAAGAGGAAGAGTGAGGTGCAGAGGGAGGAGAAGGAAAAGGGGAGGCCGGGATTGAGAAACGGTCCCTCAGGAGGGCAATGAACCAGACAAACTGCCGCCAAAGAGGGAACACAGGGGAAGCTGCATGAGGTTGAAGTCAGAGTCAAGAGTTTTTTTTTCTTAACTTTGAACATCACAAAAATGTTTTATTTCTTAGATTTAAGAAAAACAAGACAAACTGAAACAAGGATCAACAAACATGGATTTCATCTCCTAGAGCGAGCATCAGTACAACCAAATAATGAACAGAATACTTTCAGAATAAAACCTCCATATTACCCAAGGGCTCTTAGTGGCTTCGCCATGACAACCAATATTGTGCAATATTGTTCAAGTTACATCTATATTACACAGTACAATACCTCTGCGCTCATACTCGCATGCTATGAATACACAGTGTAAATGAACTTGTATCTGCTGATTTAAGTAAGGGTTAGGTAGGAAGGGGCAGGCAAACAAAATACAGGACTATTTAGTGTGTATCGAGTTTTGCTTTCGTTCCACGTTGAAATGATGCAGCTACAAAAATGGTGGAAGCTGATGATTATGATGAATAAAATGTCGCCGTACAGAGCCGAGCACTGCAGATAAAACTGAACAAGATATTCATTTATGTGCCACTCGTAAGTGAGTAATGGCCTCCAACCCGACGCTAGGTATCCTTCTAGCGTCATTTCTGGATGTGCAGGGCTCAAGTTAGAAACAATAAATATGCAACATCTGGTTAGACTTTCAAAATAAAGTTTGAGTGGTTACCGCAGTTTGGTTAAGTTTTGGGAATTGTTGACTTTCTACTTCATGCGGGACACCAGTAGCAGTCTCCTAGGTTAAAGTCTTATACTTATACAGTTCAGGGTGTTCATCGTCTCCACCTTTCAAAGGTCGAGCTTTCTGAAATGTATCCTAAAATAAATCCCCTGTGTGTCCGATGTGTCCGATATTTCCAGCCTCGCTGGGGAACATATTTTGGCTGTGCCCAAAATGATCCAATTTTTAGATGTTTAACTCTCTGTCCAATGTCCTGGGCCATGAGGTTGGAACCTGACCCGGTCTGGGGAAGGAAACCCCTCTCAGAGGACACACTGTGGGATTCAAAATCCTTTTACCTCGCAGATTAATTCTACTGAACTGGAAACTGGCACAATCTCCCATTTTCACCACGTTGGTCAAAGATGTTACGCAACACCTTAAAATGGAAAAACTCTGATTTATCTTACGAGGTACAGCTGAGTAATTCCATAAAGCTTACTCACCATTCAAAGCAGCTCTGTAGCTGGGTTAATGTTTACACTGTGTACGTACTGTTCTGTTGTTAATTTATTGGTATGTTAAATCTGTGCTGTTTTTGTAATATTTTATACCATAGCACCTACTGTTTGTAAACCAGTTTTTTGAGTGTGTTTACATCCATTTTTAGAACAAATTGCAGCAGTTTTAATATAAAAAAGTGGACGTTAACCTGAAAGGAAGCCATTGTTTCATCTCACATTGAGTCTGAAACAACAGAAGCATCCTAACACCTACAGACTGTATCTGCGTGCTTCCTCAGGTGATCTGATCTTACTAAGCGGACAGTCTCAAAGCTTTAAAGAGCCGATCTGAGAAACAGGATTAGCCCATGTCCTGAGAGGGGGAGAGAGAGAGAGAGAGAGAGAGAGAGAGAGAGAGAGAGAGAGAGAGAGAGAGAGAGAGAGAGGATGGAGTCAGATAACGGCTGGGGGAGGTGTAAATGACATTTTTAGTGAGTTGCTCTCGGGCCCCCAGGCATCCCTCCCACGCCGCCACGGGGCGCACAAACACATCACCAGAGAGCACATTTCCCCCCGCTCTGGTAATAACACCGACAGCACAGCGGTGCGGCCGCTAATGCTCTGTGTTAACATCTCTATTAATGCCGCTGCTGTTGGGCTCGAACCTCCACAATCTCTATTTGTGTTTTTCATCCTCGCTGAAATTACATACAGAGTTGCACGCCGCTTTGAGGAGTCGCCGATCGTGCACGGCAGACATCACACCGTTTCTCGGGGGGGGCTCCGGCTGTGAGCTGCTGTATAATAGCTGCCCCTTTCATATAACTTCACGCGGTTAGTTCAGAGGCTTTCAGAGCAGCTCCTGAGGACTGTGAGCCCCACTGCTTTTCATTCCAGACGCCAAGTCGCAGAAGCGTTTACACCTGGGAGGCCGGGCGCAGGTATTTCACTGAAAACTCAGTTGGCAGTTTGACCCGAGTTTAATTCTTTAAAATAAATGTGGATAAAGTCGCTTCCTGCGAGCTGCAGGAACCGGTACCGAGGAGACGACGGCTCATAGAATATGTGAGAATAAGGTTTGCCGCCATATTGAATTTATTGGAACTTGTTCAGCAATTTGGGGCATTTTGTTGAATATCTATTTGAAACATGAATCCAGGAAGAGCAAAAGAACTGTTTAAGTTTATTAACTCAAACAATTTAAGTATTAAAAAGATTTTATTTAAGTAGAACTTTATTGTTATGGTAACTCAGTAACTAAATCTGCTAACTGCTAATGTAGCTGCCAATGCCTGTTTGACCCAAATGAACAAACTAACATTGGATATTTCTATATAGTCATTCTCAGTGTTTGACACCAAAATGAAAGTTCGTTGTAGCTCCTTCAAGCTAACTTTATAAATACTCCTCCTGATCTATATGAGCTTAGACGGCAGCCATCTTTAAACACCTAATATCTTGCTGCTTTGGAAGGTGCAGCTTTAAAATCAGATCCATTCGAACCTGAATGATTCATAAAACAGACCTACTGTTGGTGAAACATAAAGAATCATTTTTACTCTGTTTCTGTGTGTTTAGGATTATAAGTTTGTCAACTCATGTTTCTTTTTCACACCAACTTCTTGTCCGCTTTCTGGGCGCCAATCGATATGAGATGGATGAGAAAGTTCTCCGTTTTTTTCCGGGGTCCTCACACCGTTAATTCATGATGTAATAATGAGGAGATTTACTAAATGATCTGCGCGATTCAGAAACTCGCAGCGGGATCAATTTGAGTTTGGGAAGAGCGAGGAGACGAGGTTTCACTCTGTGTCTCAGTGATTTCATCTTACACTCACACTGAAGGAGGTAATTGAATTTCCTAAAAAAAAATCCAGCCTTTTGCTGAGACATCTGCCTCCCAAAATCAAATAAGTAATTAGCGCGCGGCGCTCTGTTTACACATCACACCGTGAATAATCCCTTTCGCTTCACAACAGCGCTGCTTGTTTCATGTGAGCTTATGTGACTTTAGAGCGCTGTTATTAATTTAACTGAGAGTCAAATCTCCCCACAGGAGGTGTTTTCTCAGCTCCAACTAAACACCTTTTTAACAGCCACAAGTTTCAAACACCTGCGCTGCTCTGTGAAGTTCAAAATAAGTCAGCGTGACACTTTTCAGCCCAAAGTCAGAGTGTTTAAAACTGGTCTGTTGTAATTGGCTCAGACAGACTCTCTCTAAGTCTCTTCACTCCCATCTGAGGGTTCGCAGGCCGATAACGAAGACTTAGTGTCAACAAAGAGGATCAAACTCCCGACAAAAGCCTCAGAGCGTCGTCGTTAACGCCACATCAAACTCTGATCCAGAATCCTGATGAGTCAGCAAAACTGTGACAGGTTTCTTCCTCTGACTGGACGTGTTTATGACTAACGGAGCGGGAAGAGCTGACAGGGATGTATGTGCAATAAAAAAACACACTGAGGAAGAGGAGGAAGAGGTCTTATAAAGTCTGTTTTCATGCTCTTCAGCTAATTTTCTCCACATATGCATTTAATCGTATTATTTATTTCAGGCTTTGTAATAACGATGAATTCATTAATCTTAGTTTATGATCACTTTTAATTGAGAATGTTTAGAGTTCTCAAGAGTTTAGTTCTTCATGTCTGTGCGTCAGCGTTGTGGTTGTCTGTCAGAAGCTGTCATACATTGACTGTTGATCCAGTCTGAAGCCACATTGTTACCATCCACTGTTTAGATCTTGGTGCTTTTTAACTCTAGATTTGAACCGGATGAAGGATTTTAGTCATCGGACGTCTGGATCGTAAGTTATCAGAGAAACAAGCTCAGCTAACATTAGCAGCAGCTCGCCTCAGACCGTTGATATCTGTTCTCACTCTTTTTAAGAATCCATTTTCCAGCAGTTTTTCTTGACAATACAGGACAAAACTCGGCCACGTTAGCTCGCTTTTCATGTCCGCTAGCGTCTAGTCTTGTTCTTCCTCGTCTTTGTCGGCACATTTTTTCACATATTACTACCACCATTTTGTGGATTATGAAAAAAATGGGGACCCCCTCGTAAAAACTAGCTCCACGAGAGGTTAAAAACTCCACAGGGTATCTTTAAAATAAAATTGATTCAAGAAATCCAGGAGAACAAAATGATGATGACGACTCTTTGATTCATCCCATCTCTATTTACAGGTTGCAGCACTTCAAATGTTAGTCTGCTGCAGGTCGAAGGTCGCTCCTGTCCCTCTTGCTGAATGTGTCACTTACTTCTGAGAGAAGAGGTCTCTGTAGGGACTGCCGTGCTGCATAGCGATGCCGTAGCCTTTGCTGCTCATGCTGTTTCCTGACACAGTGATGGTGCAGTCATCGTCCGTCAGGGCCGCGTACTCCAGCACCGCCATGTCCCACAGGAAGGCGTAGGGACTCTTCTTCGCCTGCAGACACATAAAAGGCACACGGAGGAACACTGTTACAGTCACAGCTTGTTTACAAGTCAGTGTTTCTTTACCACTTTTCACACTCGCTGACCGTACAAAAAACAAATCTCCAGATTTGGTTCTGGTTTCTATGGAAACACTGGACTTCAGTCAATCAGCTCTAATTTAAGTCTCCTCCCGTATGGCAGCCAATCAGAGAGCTGACTGGTTGTTCATTTGGAGCTGTCAGAGGAAAGTTTAAATCAATCTAATGTTCAGAAACGTTTTCAGGAAAAAAAGAAAAAAAGCCACAAATGAATTTCTCTGTAAACTGAATATCTTTGGCTGTGGGACTGTTGGTTGGACTGAATGACTGATTACTTGTCTAGTCAATGAAACGCTGTATAAAATGATTCACAAGACCGACAGCCACGACAGGATGTTTTTACTGTGAAGTTAACGCAAACAAAATAAAAGCACTGCTCTGGAAATTTAAAAAGTTTAGAAAAGTACAGTAGGTGGTTTTAAAGGCTGTGGTGTGTGGCACTGGTTCATGCTAAATACTTTTACCTTTAAAAATAAACAGAAACAATACAATTTAAAAGTTCCATTGAGACGCAAGGAACCAGCCTAACAAACAAACAAACAAACAAACAAACAAACAAACAGAACTTTCCTTGGCAGAGCTAATAAAATGTATTCTTTTTTTTTATTATTATTGTTTTAATATACTAAAGAGCCGTTTTGTAAAAAACAGGTTCAAGATGCTTGAAAATGGGAATCCAAAACTTTACAACTTCCTGTTGTAATTTGAAACAAGCCAATTTTACAGAAAGTCACAAATGTACCTACAAGAATAAAAGAGTATATTGTATTGTATCTTAATGTTATCATTTTATAGAAGCCAGTGTTACAGAAAGTTGATCAAGTATATCGTATCAGATAGTAAACAACTTTCTGTTGTAATTGTGTACAAGCCAGTGTCACTTCCTCTAACTCGATATCTTGATATGCAGAGGAGGTGTGGCCTCCTCTTGGCTGGGTGAGGAGGTGTTGGGTGAGGAGGAGGTGACAGTAACACGCACATTAAAGCAGCAGCAGGGTGCAGAGTAAGTGGATGAGGATGTGGGTGTTTTCACTGTGTCAGCAGAGCCGCTGCAGCAGCTTTCACTTCAACCTGTTCGCTGTCACTGCTAATTGTTTGTGTGCATGTGAATACAAAGTGTTTGTACACCTCCTCCCCTCCCTCCCTCCCTCTTCTCCCTCTCCTCCTTCCTTGTAAAGAAACCAGAAGACTTGAGTCTTCAGATCCTTTCACGCTGTTACAACCTAATTACCACATCACGTCTCTTTGATGCTCTGATTGCATGTGCTGTTAGCTTCTGCAGGCTCTCTTTGTGTCTTCCTCTCATCGTCTATCCAGGTAACTCCAGGAGAGAAAGAGCTGTGTGGTGTTCGCAGAGCTGCACAAAAGATGCTAAGCTACGTGGTGTCACGCTGCGAGGCTGAGAACAAAGAGGCGTTCAGCAGGATTTCTGAATCAAAAGAGGACTAACAGGGACACAGAAAACCCAGACTCTAAAGCTCTGTGCAGATATCCACAGCTACAGCGAGACCTCCACTCCTGTTTGTTGACCAGAATATGTGTATGCAATGACATTATGAAGTCATCTGTGGGGTGAGTTTCAGGAACTGAATCATCTGAGAGAAACAGATAAAGATTTGAGCTCTAAAACAAACCCCTAGCTGCTGCTGAGAGGACGGTCTCACTGTTTGAATGTGTCTCCTCCAGCACTGTGGGAAGAATGCGGGAAAGCCGAGTGGCTCTGTGTTGGAGAAGCATTCGATGGTGGCAATAAAACAGATTAAAATGTGTGTGCGTGCAACCGTTTGGGGCAGAAAACGTCAGAAGAAAATGGCGGGGGGATGTTTATCATGCAAATGGCTGAATAATGGATGCGCTCAGAGCCGATTTGTCTCTGAAGCTAATTTGTCATCAGCCTTTTTGGGAGATCTATGAGTATAATAATGTACAGCAGCGAAACACTGCACACACACACACACACACACACACACACACACACACACACACACACACACACATGGCCTCACTAATTGGTGTTTTGTGGAAGTGCTGTTGCAATTAAGTAATGGGTAAACAGAGGAGTGTGGTTGTATGTTTGCCTGCTGTGAATAAAACAGGAGTGTGTGTCTACAATTACTCATATGTGACAATTACACACACAGACACACAGACACACACACACACACACACACACACACACAGTAAACCTGATGGCACATTATGAAATCAAAACATATGAGTGTTATACGTCTCCAACACACACAGCAAGTGAAAACACTTCCTCCACACTTCAGATCACCGACTGTTTGAAGCTGCAGTGAACAGCTGTTTAAGGAAATTACTTTAAAAATGAAACTTAATGTTTGTGAGGAAAGATTTGCTTCTTTTAAAGGTTTTCAAAAAGGAACCAGTGGGTTGAAAATGTGTCGTATACGTCTCCTCCAGTTTCTGTCCAACATTGATAAAACAGTAAAGTTAAAGGTATTTTAGAGTTTCCTGATGATCAATAAAAGTTTGTGATGACTCATCCTGCACTCAGGGGCGTTTACTAATGCTGCGTCCAATGAAACACTTTCGCTCTTCCGACGCCCCCGGAGCAAAGTGTTTCTGAGGGCCGATGTGTTCCAGACATTTCTGGCCACACTGAGTACTGTACAAAGACCTACTTTATAGCTACACTAGCTAGTTAGCTAGTGTTTTGCTCTGTGGCTAGGTAATAAGCAAGATAATCTCTACATCAGTCCTTAGCTAGCTAGTTACATCTGAAAGCTAATGTTAGCAAAACGCCAGTTAACTAACGAGTGATGTAAATTAGCTAACAAGTCAGCTAGCGTTTCAGTCGGTAGGAACCCGGCAAGAAAACCACCTCGGTACTGGATTCAGTGTCGGAGGTTGTGTTTCGTTCTCGGGTCCGGCTGTGTTCACTGGAAGGTAGATACTGATGCTAGCTCATAGAGCTAGCTGCAGAGCGATGGGTGACATAACACACACACTCAGTTCTATTGGCAGCTGTAAACACCAATCAATGTCCACATCAGTAACACACGTATGGACACACAGTTACCTTGCGTATGCCCTCAGACGGGCTGGACACGGAGTAGTCCATGCCGTTGTTCTTGCTGATCGTCCTCCACAGCTCTGCGTAGGTGCTGTCCTGCTCCAGAGGGTTGGTGCCTTTATTCCTGAAGTAGTCGTAGACGGCCGAGTCCCTCACCGTGCCGTAGTCCACGTCAATCTGCCGCGCCAAGTCCTGGAATGACCTGGAGGACACGACGCAGAGAGAGGTTAGTCTAAACATATCTGAGTCTTACATGTGCGTCATTGTTGAACGTTACCTGTTGCACAATTCTGCTGACTTTCTGTTGGCTGCAAACATGTCTGATGCTGATTTATGACAGTAAACTGATTTCAGGTCAACGGCTCTTTTGAAAAAGACTACTTTTTAAAGACTGTTGAGACTCGGAGCCCGTGGACACCCGCAAGACCGACTGCCTTAAGATATCTGAATGACCCCGAGTTTGTATAATTTTAATGAGAAAGAACAGCTTCAGAGTTTCATCAAAAGAAACAGCCAGGCAGAATATTGATTCCCAAATAAACAAAAGCAAAGATGAAATAAGATTTATTTGATGGTCATTCCTCAAGATTAAAAGTTAGTTTTAAAACCACATCATGAAAACCTGCAAGTACAGTAAGAATAATGTTCTTTATTAAATATCAATAACGTAGAAACAGCTCTGATATACGTGGAGAATTTCTATATGTATGTGTGGTTTATGTCTGTAGGATTTTAACCTGAGACTGTTGTGTTTTTCACAGAATTCAGATAATTTACGAGCACTTGACTGAAATACAAGTATATAAAAATGTGTCTATGGGTAAAACTGAAATCAACGGTGAAATCTAGTCTTTTGGAAAGATATTCATAAATCAATGTAAAGGGTTCCCACTATTTTTAAAAAATCGTTTTTTCAGGACCTGACAAACTTGTAAACTGTGAAAAAATGAACCAAAGTAAAGGGAGAAGCAGCAGAATCACCACATGTAAACTAAACAAGAAGTGACACTAAACAATCTCCGGAGCAGCAGATCAGGGAGATCAGGACTGACTGAACATGTGGTTCACCGTTTAGTACGTTAATTCCTCCACATCCACTGACTCTAACGAGCTGTATATCATAGTGACGGACGAGACATGATGCATTAATGCAGCAGATGTTTGGACGCACACTGATGGGACATGTCAGGTATCAGTGGGAGGTTTGGTTCAACTAAAGGTTCAACACGCAGCTCAGTCACATGATGATTTGTGTTTATTGTGTTGGAAATTGGATCTTCTGTTAATGTTCATATACATTTTTTAAATATACTGAGTGAACACAGTCGGGCTGCTGTCAGGACGACGGCGACTCCAACGTTAATAACGCTGCAGGTTTAATTGCAGCGCTGGTGGAGGTTGGAGTCTAATTGGATCTTGCTGTAAATGGATGTATAGATGAAGCAGTCGGAGCTATTGTGTGTCCCTCGAGGGCGCCTGTACAATTCACCATCATCATTCAATAAACACCATCAACAGCCGAGCCATTTATTTAGGTGGAATTAACGTCATATTCACCTGCAGGACTGCTTTGTGTCTTTTTATTGTACCTGATTTATTTGCCCATTTTTTTTTAAACGAATGATCTCTGTCCTTCTGTCCCTTTCCATTTTCCACTCCTCTCTGCGGACAGTGGACGTGGTATTTTTCCAGGTCTGCTGATATTTGGGACCACTTGAGATCAAATAACATTGTTTCCAATGAACTGAACAAAAAGAGTAAACACTAGAGTTTGAAAAGCATCGGGCTGCACAAAAGTGGCTGCATAAAGTGGCAGTTCTCGAAAAAATCGTATTTAAGTACAGTCCTTCAGTGAGGGTGGAGTTTAAAGTGGATCTCTCTCTCTCTCTCTCTCTCTCTCTCTCTCCAGTATTTATATAAACATATACTTACTAGGAAGGCTGATACAGACACACAGAGTCTACAGGAAGTCACTGTCACTGAATTTTAGGATTAATTGATGCTAGTAGGTCGTATTTTGTTGTCTATGGACATAACCAGGCTAGCTGTTTCCCCCTGTTTCCAGTAGTTATGCTAAGCTAAGCAAAACCGTCTCCTGGCTGTAACTCCATTAAATCCGTAAATCCAATCTATCAGGACAGGATTTTCTCTTCATCCACAGTAGATATAACCTGTGGGGTTCCACAAGGCTCAATCCTGGGTCCCATCTTATTCTCCCTCTACGTGCTTCCACTGGCTCATAGCTCGCTGAATTTACATTCTGCATTCTTGTGATTTATTTTATTTTTATTATTTGTATTTTATTTTATTCTATTCTATTTTATTTTGGCACACACTGGTATGTAATACTCTTTTTAATAGTGTCTGGTTATTTTTGGTTGAATCGGTTTACTTCACTTATTGCTTTTAATTTTATTGCTGCTATTTTTTGTCAACATAAAACACTTTGCAAATATCATTTTAAAACAAAGTCCTATACAAATAGACTTATGATTGTAAAAACATGAGTGGTAACAAGTGTTTATCATATTTAATGTAGTGCTCGCTGGGCACACACGTTTTAGTCCTGATATTTTTCCCATGTTATTATTTTAATGACACACTGAAACCACATTAATTGATGTTAACAGGGATTTTACAAACATTCACTGATATCCTGCATCTTATTAACCTATTGAATTTCCAGCCCCTCATTCAGTCTGAATCAGTGTAACAGTTCGATATTGTGATTAAAAAAAACCTGCCATTTGAGTGATAAAAACGTCGACAGTCTTTCAGCAGTTACTGTAGTAAGTCCACACTGGGTGGAGTAACAGCAGCCAGTGGAAGGTAGTCAGAAAAAAGATGTTTCTCTGCCGTCTGAGGGGGCTTTTAAGAAGTCTACATCATATGCAAATCTCTACTTCAGCATTCATTGAATATCTGTAAAAGCAAAGTCGCGTACTTAGCATTTTCTCTTGAATGAATCGCTCTTCACAGAGTAACACGCCTGGGATTTGTTGATGAAAATGTCAGCTTGGATTTGATTCTGAGAGGAGAAAAGAGAGAAGAGGAAGGAGCTGGTGCGTCACTACCCGGAGATGAAGGGCCTGTTGTCTTACCTTTAGATGGGAAATGAGAGATTCTTTATTCTTACACAAGATAAATAGGCTAAAGCCACATGATGGAACTGCGTTCTTGTCGAGTATGTCAAGTGTGCACAAGTGCGTTCGAGCCTGAGAAAAATGCATTATTTTTATAGTCAGACGGCACATTTAAAGTGTCTGTTCCTGCTGCGTGGAAGCAAAAGCCTTGACTTTTAACAGAGTGCACAGGAACAGCAGGACAGAAAAGCTTAAAGTGAGCTACCACTGGTTCCAATACACTGATGAGCAGGAAGTTCTCACCAGGAAGAAAAAAAATCTTCCACTGCTGTTATTGTTAGAAATGGAATAGTATATCCATAGGTATGTTTTAATTACTGTTTAATGAGCAGAATTGTTGTGTTTTTATTACTTTAAAATTAGCCCACCATGTTTATACAGTTGCCCAGAACGGACAAACCAAACACTGGCTCTAGAAAGGAGTCTTTTGCGTATATTTGGCTCATTTCGCATCACCTCTAAGATCTGTAAAACCAAAAATGATGCCAAACTGTTACTGAAAGAGGAAAAATAGTAGAAAAACTAAAACGGCAGGTGAAGTGAAGACCATCGCCATTATTTAAAGCTTCTATAGACAGTTGCAGGCATTTACACTGAGAGGCATTGGTAGCGAAACCACTGTTCTCCAGTGTGCCTGTTTGGCACTGTCATATAAGTGTGAGGAACAGAAGTCTTCTTTTCACTGACGTGCAACAAAGACCTTTAAACAAATAATCCCTTTATGATCCGAGCATCCTCCCAACTACTCATCGGGAACAGGTCAACTCAGAACTCTAAGGCAAGAAAACAAAGCTGAACCATTATGCGATTTTTGAAATTTCACACGAATGCTTGGTCAAGTCTCGGAGCCTTTAAAGCCACAAAACTGCCTTTAGTGCTCTCTGTAATGTTTATGGTCAATCTCAGAGCTGAAATATATGTATAGACACAAGGCCTTTTGACGTTTGCTTGAGTCGTGAGAAAAAGTGCCAAAAGAGCAAATTACTGCTGACATTTAAACTGTGAATTCCTGACAGAGTTCAAACTCCTTGATCAATATTTAATCTTCAGTATGTGTAGCAGCTCAGACGCTTGTTGTTTGGAGTGTATTTTCTGTGTGATCACAGCTTCACACTGACTATCAGCCACTGATCGTTGATTGGCTCCAAGCGTGCACCTTCCCTTCCGACTATCATGAATACTGAGCAGTGTGAGCTTCTGTCAGATCTTGTATGAAATGAAGCTGGTGTCTAGTAAACAGATCACCTCTGAGGCCTGTTGGTGTCTCGTTGGCTCTTTGAACATGAAATCTAAAGCAGAGCTATATGTAATCCAGCCGGCCACACAGAGCGGTGATGATGGTCGAATCACAAGATAAAAAGACAGTTCAGACTTTGATGTTTGAAGCACTCCTTTGGATTATTATTATTTTTTTTCTGAGTGAAATGCACAACAACAAAGCGTGAAAATAAATTGCTACTTTTGATCTTCAGCCTGTAACGCTGGCCGGGATGCGAGAACTCATCGGCACCATTGACAACACTCAGAGGTGATGATACACTTGAAGAATCTGATGTCAGATCACAGTTCACATTACTGTAATGCTGATTTATGGGTAACAAAGTCTTCAAACATACAAAGGACTGTCACCGAGTAAAGATCTAACAGACTGTTAAACACTAACAGAAACAGCGGTAATGATTGTGAATGTGTCAGAACAACCAGCAAGGAGACTGAACAGTTAGTTAATTTATTCCAACACAGTGTAACATCACACAGTCTGGCTGTTCAACACACGGAATTAATAACTTCCAACTTCACTGAAACAAATCCTTGTGGACCTTTTCCCCCTTTTGTCACTTTTGGTTTTAGAAAAAGACCACTTTTCACCAGCATCGTAAACACCTTTTAAAGCCACTAACTAGAGCTTTTCATACTGAAGAGCTATCTTGAGTCTTACGCTTGACTCTTGGGGATGTGGACCCAACGTACAGTCACCTGACAGACCAAAGGAAGTGCAGCAAAATAGCTAAAAATGCAAATAGACTTAAATTATACAAAGTGATACACAACGTGGCAT